CTTTTAAGTAGGTCTTTATATATAAAAATCCATCAAATTAAAATTAGTGCTGTCAGCATACGTCAAAATTATTTAAAAAAAACCATCACTATGATTTAAAGATGCAATCATAACCAAATCAAATTGTTGTCAGAGTAAATATTTACACCCCTAGAGAGAAGTGTAATAGGATTTGTGCAGAAAAGAGGAAGAAACATGTCAAGGGTTTTTATACAACACAGAAGTCCTCATGTGACACATGCTCACACTATCAAAACAAACCAATACACGAAGAGAGGTTAAGCAAAACTAAAATGCAAATAAAACCAGCCTTAACCTTTTCAGAGTCAATGCATGTCCTCAGACAATAATTAACTCTCAACTTTACCAATCATTAATCGCCAATCGCTATGCCTATGGGGCCCTATAGACATGTATTTCTGACCGAAATATCCCTGAAACTGTTTCTCCATCCAACTCTGTGTCAACCAAGGATCCCAGGAAGTCTTACAGAATATCATGAACCAAGAACAGAGTGAACAGGACAAGAAAAAGAGAGAAAGGTAAGAGAGGGGGCGTGTAAGTCCCACAAGTGATGATGTGTTTGTTTTAGTGGCGTAATTTTCCACGGTGGCGTTCCAAGAAAACAAGATTCCTCTTTTAATTTTTTTCAGCTGTGTGACATGCATAGAGCATGTGGGAAAAAAAAACAACTTACAAATATGGGTGAGAGAGCTAGGCTTTCCTCTTTTAAGTGAGATGATTTTAAAATAGTAGGATCAGTTTAGATTTCCTCAGTTAGATCACTTATTTCATATTCATAACATTTCATTTAACCTTTGATTACTAAAGGAAAGAGTACTGAGAATGTGCTCATTCATAGTTTTGGTCTAGTGCGCTGACCTGACCGGCAGTTAAATACGTTAAATATGGTATTCTTGGAGTTCCATTTTGCCGTTTACAGAAATTCAGAAAAGGCCAGAGGATTAATGCAAACATTAGATCCCCCTGATATTAGTTTATTTAGGTTGAGTTATTTTAGTGCTTCAATCTAAAAAAAATAAATAATAACTTTTCTAATTTTCATTTTTTTTAATGGTTTAATTTTAATTAAATATGATAATAACCCTGTCTTGGATCACGTATGACCCACCTTGAATACTTCATCATCATCATTATCATCATCATCATCATCATCACCACTAATAAAACCAAATTATCATTAATGAGTAATAATAATAATAACCACTCCTTAAAATTAAAACATTATTAACATTAAATTATATATAAAATTATGTATCTTTTAAATAATAATAATAATAATAATAATTTATAGTATTAAAAAAATAATTCACCCAAAAATACCTTTAAAGTAAATTCACTCTACTGTGCCAACTTCTTACGTTTTTCCATTTAAACAACAGCTTCAAATCTGACATGCTGGTTTCAGTGTGTGTGTGTGTGTGTGCGCGAGAGTATAAATTCTGTGTGAAAGAGCATGAATTAGAGCAAAGGATCAGCATGAGAGACAGTCCAGAGAGACAGCATTGTCCAAACAGTGTCTTTAGCTGCTCTAACAATAAGCCCTCTCTTCTGCTCTCTGTACTGCGTGTTCCTCCACAGAATCAGTCAGACACAAGCGCTACATGTCTCGCACTGGCACACGCATACATGCAGCATGTTATTTCATGTCTATTGAAAGGCACAAATTGGATTTTTTTAAGCACACTCAAATGCTCTTAATATAAATATGGTCGGACATGCATAGAAACATGACAACCGAAGTGCTGTCGGGTTCAAACTGCATAAAAATCATGATATCCTTGATAGAAATAAGTGCATTAATGTTATAACTAAAATTTACAGGTAATTTTAGAACTCAACTTATTTTCTCAATTAAACTTTAATCTTTAGTATTTTTTCATCACAAATATAAGTTATGCAGTTGTTTCTTAGGTTTGTTCTTTGTAAGAAAACATCTGCCTTGACAAATAATGTTATGTGTGGAGGTGGCAGAAATAATGAGTTATTGTAAGTTTTTCTTATCTTGTTCCATCTTGTTAAAATAAAATAAGTCACAGCAAGACAACTCTTAGAGCCTCAGAGCCAACATGAGCACAGTTTTAAGTGTAGCACACCTCTTGTGTGTGAGAGCCATGTGACTGCAGTTTACACAAAACACATTATACACAATGAAGGCTATCAAGGAACTGCTGTGTTTGTCGATCTGTGTTGAGGTTATATAATGTGACAACCGTGTGTGACACAGAATGTCTCGAGACTTGAGGTCTTGTACAGATTCTAAGATTCTAGAATTCTAAGATGAATTCCAATTATAGTAGACAGCAGAATCTCTATATCTATATAAAATCTATATAGTAGACATCCAATAATAGTAGAAATGCACTGTTTTGAATCTTGGAATCTTATCTTTAGAATGTTTAAAAATCATTGAAAATCTCTGATATGGAATCCTACATTTCTTTAAAGTATATTTTTTTCAGATCTATTGAATTTTGAAATTTCATAATGTTTGGAAACTTTGAATCTTTAAAATCTTTGAAATCCGTATATTAAAATCAATTGATTTATTAGAATATTCGGATATCTATGAATCTAAGAAAATTACACTATACCATTCAGAAGTTTTCGGTAAGATTTTCATGCTTTTGAAAGAAGTTTCTTATGCTCACCAGGGCTGCATTCATTTGATCAAAATACAGTAAAAACAGTAAAATTATGAAAATTATAACAATTTAAAAAACCTTTTTTTTTCTATTTTGATTTATTTTAAAATGTAATTTATTCCTGTGATGTCAAAGCTGAATTTTCAGCATCATTACTCCAGTGTACAGTGTCACATGATCCTTCAGAAATCATTCTAATATGCTGATTTGCTGCTCAAGAAGCATTTCTTATTATTATCAATGTTGAAAACAATTGTGCTGCTTAATATTTTTTGTGGAAACAGTCATTTATATTTTTCAGGTTTCTTCACTAAATAGAAAATTCAAAAGAACAGCATTTATTTGAAACAGAAATCTTCTGTAACATTATAAACAACTTTAATGCAGAGTAAGAAGGTGTGTGTTATCAGTTAAGTGTGTGTGTGTGCGTGTGAGTTTGTGAGATGTCACTGAGTCAGTCTCTCCCAGCTTATCTATCTCAGAACATCTCTGATCAGCAACCTGAATCCTGATGACACTGAGCTGCTACACAAACACACACACAGAGAGAGAGAGAGAGAGAGAGAGAGAGATGCGCACACAAAAAATATTCAAGAGCACAGAAGTCGTCAGGTCAAGTCACCTTTATGTATATAGCGCTTTATACAATTTTGATTGTGTCAAAGCAGCTTTACAGTGTCAACAGGATTTCAGTCATGGTGATGACTTTCCATTGATTTCTATTGTTTTTACAAAGAGATAGAGATATTTTCTAGTCCTAACCCTAAACCAAACCCTCATACATACATACAGTACTTTATTTTATTTAATAAGTCATTTTCCTCATGAAAATGCGAAGACATTTGGTACCTACAAAACCCGTATTCATTCAAATGTTGTGTGTTGCATTGAGTGGCAATTACAGCTTACAGAGAGAGAGAGAGAGAGAGAGCTGGCACTGAGTGACTGAACTCTTGTGAGTGGATTAGAGCCGAGCAGCTGATTACTGACTATGGATAAAACCTCTCACTGAGCTAATGAATATTCATTCAGCTGTGCATAAACATACACAAGCTCAGGCAAAAAAAAAAAATTGCACATACAGTGAAAACAGCCCCTTTTCTGTTCACAAGCTCAAACTATAGATATCAGCTACTGGTGTTAATGGCATCAGCTTGACCTAAAACTGCTAGACAAGAAAGCTTTCCAAATAAGGTTTCAGATGCCAGCCTGTGCCCAGCAAACTTCAGGAGCTGATTAATCCACTATAGGCAGCGGGCCACAGGGTCAGCCGATGGGCACTACTGTGCTGATTGAACAGACTAGCACATGAAATACAAACCACTGCACAATCAAACACATCCAGAGCTGTTATGTTATTAGGTCTCTATTTTTGGTGTTAATAAAATGTAATTAGGCACTTCAAGTACAAAAATTCTTTAAAATGAAGATAAACAACAAAGAATAATACTATGAAGTGCACATTTATATTGTTAGTTAGCTAATTTGCATTTTATAATAGAAAATAAAGTATCAAAAGGGAGGATAAAAAGCTTCTCATATCTGTTGTCATTGATGTCAAAGACATAAACCTATTATTATTATTAATTTATTATGAATATTGATATTCTTCTTTGTTTATTATTATTGATAAAAATAAATATTACTATTTTAATATTTCACTTTAAAATGAAAATAAGATTTTAAGAAAAAATTACAATTTTAATTATTATATTACTTTATAATAATAGGTTTATTTTACACGGCAACATAAAAATACGATACTATTATTTACCGCTTTCTTATGAATTTCTTCATTTTCAAACATTAAACCATCAAGCTTTTATTTTGACTGAAAAACCGCAGGGAGACCTTGAAGCTTCTCTTTTGTTGACAACAGCCAAAGCCAGTTTATAAGCATTTCTCATTTGCTTCAGTAAGTTTAGGAAGATGGTTGCCACATGTTGTGCTCCCAAATGCACACTATAAGGGATTTAGCAGATGGATCTAAAGTTCATGTGAAGCAGCATTTACTGTGAACCAAGAGACTATAAACGGCAGATCATGAGTTGCCATGCTTCACTCTGAAACATGCTGCGCATATATTTATAGCACTTGAAACCAAAATTACGCTATAGCTTAGTGCTGTGATTTATTTTGATTATTTGTGTAGCCCTACAAAGGATATGTGTCCAATTCTACAGTATTTGACCATAAATGCACCTGTGAACTTGGTAGAAGCTAGCTAAATTAGCCAGATGCTAACATGGGCAGGTTGTGACATGCTCTCATCTTCAAAAACCATGAATTATATGGAGACAGGAACCATTGAGAGTGAGATGAGCCTGTGTCACCTGAATGGCTCAATGTATTCGGGCTAATATGCTAACTGTTAAACTACAGCTATAGGAAAGCTTCTCCATTGTGTTTATATGCATGTTTACTGTTCATTCTGACTGGCCCAGCCCAGTAAGTTAAACATTTATAAGGCATGACTACTCAGCCCTTATCTGCTCTAGTTCTACCATGGGTAGATTTCACTTGGAGAGAGGTGAGACAAGCCCTCAGGTTCACACGCTTCTAGCATCCTAGCGTGTGTGTGTGTGTGTGTGTGTGTGCGCGAGTATAGCGTCCTTTGCACGCTTTGCTGGGTCTCGGCGGAGACTGACCCAGTTTGTGCAGATCTAATCCTGGCACATGCAGCCTCAGTGAGAATTACTGTCCCACCGTCACATGACGCTCTGGCAGAAAATATCATACAAATATGATATTAATAATGTCAGAGCAGAGGAGCGGAAGGGTACTCATGGCAGCTCAGCACACATCTGTGCTCTAGAAATCCCAAGTGAACTGGAACGAGAGAAAGACAGCAAGAGAGACAGACAGGTTCAATGTCAGTCCTGTTAGTCTTCATCCTCCTGTCCGTGTCACAATGTTAAGCTCAAGTGTCCTCTAAAGTCTGTCTATCTCTCTGGCTCTTCACCTCTCCTTCTCTGTATTTGTCATACACTGAGTCTCCAGCTTCATGACATTTTTTCATCGTTCATCATGAGTGTTGCGTTTTTAAGACAGTGTGTCAAGCTAAAAATAGTTCAACTTGCAAAACACATCCCTATACCCATGTTCTGTTCTATTCTATTCTGTTGCACTACGAACTATTTTTGAACACAAGAACTTGAGCTGTATGAATGCACCCTGAGAAACACATTTCAGATCAAGGTCAGGGAAACCCAAAACCAGCCTAATTATTCCAAGTTTCCCCAAGACGGAATAGTCAATTAGCCATTGGGGAAAGCTAATGACTTTTGAATATTTTTAAAATATGTAGTTTTTGCATGTCTAATATTTGAAACTATGAATCTTCAGAATCTTTTAATCCATTTAAAATCTATAAAATTATCTTTAGAATCTTTGAAACTATTAATCTTTCAATCTATTGGAATCTCATAATCTATGAATCTTTACAACTATACATCTCTAGAATCTTTTAATCTATTTTGAATCTATAAATCTTTAGAACCTTTATAATCTGTGAATCTATAAATATGTAAATATATGAATCTATTAATTTTTGAAACTATGAATCTGTCAAAATGTAGAATTTTAAAATCTGTGAATCTTTCAAACGAAGAATCCTTCAAATCTATTCTAAATCTATGAAGCTTTAGAATATTTAGATGAGAATCTTTAGACCTGTGTATCTAATACTTTAATCCATGAATCTATTAATCAATCTATGAATCTTTGAAACTATGTATCTTTCAGCCTTTGGAATTTTAAAACCTGTGAATCTTTGAAACTATGAATCTTTAGAATCTCTGAATCTATGTTAAATCTATGAAGCATGTAAAATCTATAGAATCATTAGAATCTTAAGAATTTGCAGAAAGTATGAATTTTTCAATCTTTGGAATCTTAACATTTATGAATCTTTGAAACTACATTTTTGTCATCTTTAGAATCTTTAAAATTTGTAGAATCTATAAATCTATTTTGAAACAATGAATCTTCAGATTATTAAAATTTTTTAAATCTTCAGGATCTGTGAATCTATACATAATGAATTCTTTGAAACTGAATTTTCATAATTTTGTAATCTTCAAATATTTACAATCTTGGAATTCTAAAGATTGTTTGGAATATTTGGAATCATTGGCATTCTAGAATCTTCATAACCTAATAATCTTTAGAACTGTTTGAATTCAGAGCAGTGAAATGGAACAGTACATACTGTAGTTCAAAGTCTGTGCTCCGCTCACATCTGTGCTCTAGAAAGCTCTATTGAACTGGATCAAGACAAGTAACAAGAAAGAGAAAGAGAGACAGAACAATTTGTTGTCGGTCCTGTTACTCTTCATCCTCCTGTCTGAGTCAATGTTAAGCTCAAGTGTCCTCTAAACTAAAGTCTGTCTCTCTGCTTGCCTCAGTCTCTCTCTCATTGAATCTGTCTCTCTCTCCATACCCATCTCTCTCTCTCTCTCTCTCTCTCTAAATCTGCTTTATTTTCATTTCTCCTCCTCTCTTTGCCGTACAATGAGTCTCTAGAGCTTAATAAGTTGACTGGGTCTGAACAATGGAACGGATGATGGATAGAAGGAATGTAAGTTTATGGCTAGCCACATTCATCCTCCAAACTATTTTCAAAGACACAACATTAAAGCACATACTGTACAAGAAAGTCACAGACCAAAGCACTGCCTGACACAACAGAAAAATGTACAGCAGACAGCAAAAACATTCTATACTTCACTGTGGTCAGATGATATGGGTTTTAATGGTCTTTGTCAATGTCAAAAGTAAACGGTGTTTGGATTTCACCTTAATTTTCTGGATATTCAATGAGAATTTGGCTCTTATGCCAATTTGCTGCAGGGATTCTGAATGCAGTCAATTGAGTCATGTGTAGTTCTGACCTGACACAAATCTCTTAGCTTGACCCCTGCTAGAGCACAGATGTGCTGTTCATTCAATAGAAGATTTCCGCTTGGCAAAACAGCGATTAAACCCAGAAGAGGCACGTGGGGAGAGGGGAGGGGAGGATCAACTGCGAGAGGAGAGCAAAGAGTCCCAGTGTTCTTGTGACACAGACACAGAGTTTGATGCGCAGGCCCACGCGCCTCCACGATTTAATCCCTTGGCGGATTTGTTTGACTGCGCTGCATGTAAATTAAGAGTCCGAATGGACAGATTTAGCATCTACTGAAGTCTGATTGACTGAATAAAATGACACACTTGGAAACATACAGATAGAATAGAAACTTTCAATCTTTGAAATCTTAAAATCTATGAATCTTTGAAACTACGAATCTTTAGAATTTCTTTTGAATCTATGAATCTTTAGAATCATTAGATTCTTAAATCTATGAAGCTTTGAAATTATGAATCTTTCATTCTTTGAAATGCATCTTTCATTCTCTGGAATCTTAAATCTATGAGTCTTTAAAACTATGAATCTTCGGAATCTATGAATCTTCCGAATCAAATGTGATCTACAGGGATTCTAAATGCATTCTGATTGACTAGCTGAATGAAACAACATCCAAAAAAAGACAGTTTTGTCACTTACCCACTGCTGGAGCATCATACTCTTCACCTAACAGTATTTCTGGGGCAGAGTATGCCAGTGAACCACAGCTGGTCATCAACATTGTCCCAGGCTGAAAGTGGTTACTGAAGCCGAAATCTGTCAGCTTCACTGTCCCCTGCTGCCTGAAGAACACCACATTCTCTGGCTTCAAATCTCTGTGGACAACGTGCAGACGATGGCAGTAGGCTATTGCTCGTACGATCTGCGCAAAGTGCACTTTCGCCGTGTCTTCGGCCACCCCTCCTTCATGACGCAAGATGTAATCGTACATGTCACCTCCGTCGCCCAGCTCTAGGATGAGGTACAGCTTGGTCTGCGTATCGATGACCTCATAGAGTCGCACTACATTGGGGTGCTGGACGAGTTTCATGCAGCGGACTTCTTGAAGCAAGTGGCCAGTCGCCAAGTCATCAAGCTTTGTCTTGTCGATCACTTTGACTGCTACTAATTGGCCTGTGAATACATGACGGGCTAGTTTGACCACGGCGAAATGGCCTTTGCCCAGTGTGCGGTCTAGGTCATATAGGCCAGCTATCTTGCCCTCGTAACCGCTTTTGGTGGCAGCCATTTTGGATCAAGCAGTGGAGGTACAGTTGAAGGACTGGGCTCTCTTACCAGAGGGAGCTGAAGGAAACTGGAGCTCTACTGAGACATCACCTGTGGAAAAACAAAAAAAGAGATAATGACAGTGAAGAAATGACACATGTAAACAGCAGACCTTAGACATATTAGTTATAATGATATTTTATCTCATGTATGGGGAAAACTGATCTAATTAGTGATGCAACATCCTTGAAACCGCATTGCAACATACAGTCAACCAATCAGAACACCTGGCAATGCCACTGCAACCATCCATAGCTTTAGCGACCCTAGCAACTGCACAGCAGCATTAGCAATCACATAGCAACACCCTGGAAACCATATATAATATCCTTGAAACCACACAACAACATGTTAACCAATCTTGGTCTGGTAAACATCCTTTATTCTAGGGTTGTGAGTGACATGGTGGAAAATTTCCAGTAAATTTCCAGAAACATTCCACAATTTTCAAAATCAGTGTTTCCCCTGAAAAAAACAATTCTGGAAAGTTTCGTGTTATCATACATAGCAACATGTCAACAACCAATCAGAAATCATTAGCAACAGCATAGCAACACCCTTGCAACCATCCACAATTCTGGCAATCCCATAGCAACACCCTAGCAACCACAGAGCAATGTGTCAACTGCCAGTCAAAACACCATTCAAACCAACATCCTAACTATATGAGAATACCTTAGCAACAACATAGCCAATAATGGCCTGGAAATGTCCCATAACACCCCAACAACCTAGCAACTGTATAGGAATGTGCTAACAACCATAAAACAGCACTCTCACTTGTGTGGTACAGCTTAATAGAACGTTAAAAGGTTTTCGTATGGCATCAGGCTGGAAAACCCTTTTAGGAATGTTTAAGTGGAGGGGATGTAGTGCTCTTTGTGTCGAAACAGTGTTACATATAGATGTAAACTGCACTTGCTTTCACATTCACAGCGTTATTGAAGAGAGGAAGATGAGTGTTTGGAGGGAGCACAAGGTAAGCTGTCTAACAAGTTTATATACTGATCTTATGTGTTTGCTCAAGAGAAGACGAGTACTGTTGGTATTTGCCTATAAGAATGCCAGACACTGATCTTAAATCTTTCAAAAAACCCAATTAACCAATTGTCTCAGAAGCAAACTATTTTTAAAACCACACCGGGCTTACTTCATAGTACAGCAGTTGCTTAGCAACAGTAGTTACTATTACTAAGAAATTCAAACAAATCCACCCTATTACTTAACAGAGAACTCCTCTATTATCAGTCTTATAGGGAGTGACAATAACTGCATGTCCAAGCACGAATATGGCTGTCTACTACAATTTCAGCCAAACCTGGAGGTGACGTCATAATGCATGCTAAGACAAAACCCATTCAATACTGAGATTGCAGGCAGTGACATTAATTTTGAGGTCACCTATTGTATTAGACAAATTGTTTGCAATTTCGTTTTATCATGCAATTGCCAAACATTTGTGATTAAGAAAAAATTTATTCAAACAGTTGGTATACATGCAAATGTAAGAATTGAAGGGACTTTAAACATCATAAATGAGTTAAAACCCAAGCAAAACAAAATCAAACAAAAACCAAAACCAACCAACCAAACAAAACAACCCCCGCAAAAGACACCACAGCACAAAAAACATAAACAAAAGCAAACAAACAGCATCAAAAAATTCTTAAAAATTTTATAAAAATAAATATAGATAAATATGCTCTAATGGATTGGATACAAAGAGACCTAGCATCAGAGGAGTCGGGTGACAGAAGCATAGCACAAATGGTGTAGCTCAATACCTGTAATGTGATATCATTTTTAGGGTGTGTGTGTGTGTGGTTTGATGGAAGGAGCTGAATAGTTAATGACCAGTGATAGAGGCTGAACAGGACACTAATGCTATGATGCCCGTCTAAGATGCCAATGTTATTGTTAACTAAAACCAAAACTAATAAAAAATAGTTTTTGTTCATTGAAATACAACTGAAATAAAATCTATATAAATATTAGGTGAAATGCTGCCTTGGCAACTAACTGAAAATAAGTAAAATAAAATTAAAATGAAACAAATAAGTTCTATGACAAAAACAGAATAGCTAAATGGAAGTATATTTGAAAAAAAAAAAAAGTATATAAAATTATTAAAACTAAAACTAAATTTAAAATGACAATTCAAATTATTAATAAATACTATAATAGTACATAAATAATACTAAAATACTACAATGATGCATGCTCACACACAAGCACACATATGAAAATGAAGTGTACTCAGAGCTTTTCTTGTCTGTTGAAATTAATGCTGCTAAAATAACCTGCCCTTTGTCTGACGGACTGAGTTTGTGGTAGATCGGAACAAAATTACACATGAAAAGTTTTTATTATTCACCAACATCTCACATATGCAAACATTTATGCTTCACATACACATTATATTTTAGAAAAGCTGCATGTATGAATGATATGTTGTGATATGTTGTGAGAACTTTCATTGTGTGGACATTCATTGCGTGAACATTCTTCATAACATTTCTTTTTGCGTTCTCCAAAAGAAAAAAAAGGTGGTTTGTAACGCCATGAGGGTGATTTCAATGACTGACTTTTCATTTTTGGGTGAATGATTCATTTGACGGAAGAGAATCAGATCTGTTTTAGATTGTTTCTAAGTCAGAGCATCCTGCTTCAAAACTTTGACGTTTTGTTGCCTTTTGTGAGATGTATTTATTTAGTGGTTGAGACCGAAAGAAAAACAGAGCCAGATGAAAGAAGAATGAAAGAGCAAAAACAGTACATTATGTAACAAAGACCATTTGGCCTCCATATTGAGGAAGGATAGGGCTGTCCACCCTTTCCATGTTCAGCTCTATCATTTATAAAGCATGGCAGTATTTCCTAAAGGGAGCGGGGAGCACACATGGTGCTTCCTCCTGATAGCGCTTAGGTAGAAACCCAGCATCCGCAGTTTAGGATGACTCTCAGTTACACAAGACGCATACATGCTAACATACGCAGACATGGCACTTCCTGCATTTCCTTGCCTTTCTGCAAGCGAGGAACTCACACGTCGAGGAGTTGGGAATCCAGCAGGCTGTGTTTCTGCGAGAAAATGTCCGCTGCCTGAGACGCTGGGGTCTTTTGTCACCCGCTACATGAGTGTCAAAGGCAAGAAAACAGACCAGACTCATTTGTACGCCGATACGAAACACACAAACCCGTACGCGGGGCTGTCAAGAGGCTCGCGGTCTGACAGGAGGCACCAGGGGAGAGGTGTGAAAGGATGAGTCATCCCGCTCTCCCTTTTGGAGGAGGGAGGGCTGATGGACGAGCAGAGTGAAGAGATGTGAAAGAGATGCAGAGTTGGGGAGAATATAATGGGGTTGCCTTTAGATATGATCTCATCGCCCCATGTTCCCATCATGCAACATTCATGGTGATGAGGTCAGCGTGGCGCAGTGGGAGCTTGCGTGCCTGCTGTTTGAAGTGCATTAACGTCTACACTCACACAAACGGTAAAACATTTGAACCTCTGGTCTATTGGTAAAATTCATATAGTACTAGCACCAACATGCAAATGTTCAGGCAGTGGGTCTGAATACATTGCCTGAAATCTGCATGCAAACATTTTCACGAACAAACCATGATTTACAAATAATTTTCATTTAATAATTTTTGTTTAATTTAAAAAATTTATTGTAAATTAAGAAAAAATGTACACCACACATATGCAAAACAAATATTCTGGGTGGCTTTATAATTATGTTACATTAAAATGAAATTTTATATATAGATATTTAGATCTTTAGAGAGCGTCATGTACTTGCTAATAGTCACTAAAAGCAGTAAATGAAAGGTTCTTCAGAAAGCCCTTATATGGAAATGGTTTTTGGTGGGTTTTATGCAAATGACTAACCTTGGGCACGTGGTCGCTCATTTAGAATAACAAGGTTAAGAACAAATTCATGTGCATACACAGGTGTTGTGAATTGGGCCGAATGAGATCCAGTGTTGCAAATCCTAGTAAACTGCCTACTGAGGGAAACTTTTAAGGGCACACTCCTGACTGTTCTAAAAAGGTAGGTATCTGCCTCCCAAGTTACCAAATTTAGTCCAAATTCAAAGGAAGTGTAGAATCTGGGAGAAGGTAATCCCAGAATGCATTGCAATTAGCTTCAAGATGGAGGACAACGTAAGAAATGTTCATTCTAAATATACTCTATAGGGCCATTCACACAAAACACATTTTTGCATTCCACTGTTCTACTTTTCTATGAAAACATGACTAGATGGACACATTTGACCACTTAGCTTAGATTTTGCACACAAGACGGCTTTCCATGAGCCACTAAAGTGAAAAGTTCATCTTTAAAAAACAAACAAACACACGTCTCTAGTTTTTTTTTCCACATATTTAAAATTATTTTATTATATAATTATGATGAAAATTATTTATAAAAATAAATAAATAATTTATAAAAAATAAATTTGTGGACAGTGCTTAGAATATCGTGTTTAGCTTTGCTAATGCTAATGGCTAACTCCATTGAAAAAAATTGCAAGTCAAGTCCATAGTGTGCTATTTGTTGCTGATGTAGACTGTTACAAATTCATCACTTATGAGGTTTCGCGACTAATAAAATGCTATCTTAGAAGGTAGACAGTGAGGTAGCTTGCTTCATTTTGATGCAAAGCTCATGGGGAGACTTTATTATACGCTCTTTTTGTGACTTGTCTCTCTCTTTCCACATGGTTTTAAATTTTAAAACTAAATCCTTAAACTTAACCCATATAAGTTTCCAGTGTCATGCAGTTTGTCTGTAAACACAAATCTGCTGCGCAGCATGACAAACAACAGCCAGTTGGAAGAAATTTGGTCCCTACAATGTAGGTGAAACTTGATCTAGGTGACCTGCAGTCCCCTCTTGTCCCAATTCCCTCAGGCCTGCCTTGTGATGGAGCTGAAGTGTCTTAGGACACTACTGTGACACGCACATGTCTTATCCTTCTTAATCTGAGGCACAAAATAATCACTGTGTAACCCACAAACTTGGTAGTTTGCCAGTACGCGCATACACCATGTTCTCGCACATATGCTCACACACATGCATGTGCACACAAACAAACACACTGCTGAGTCTAGGACTTTGGCTGCATGCTATATATACACACTCAAGTATCTACAGTGATGCAGACCATAGAAGACCATATAGATAACAATCTAATGACTTTATCCAGCATCCTTTGGATCGTATTACTCAGAATCTCACCTAGTATTCCATTTAAATTCCATAAAACATCTCAGTTCAACAATTACATCATTGCTACAGGATTCCCACACTTATGGAAACATTTCTAGCTCATGACATTTTTAATAAAAATATCCTTTTTTTTTCAATATTTAAAGAACCAGAAATATATACAATTTACTAGCTCATGAAATATTTATGAAATATAGATCATGAATGCAAAAATGCAATTCTTCTTATATTTAAATATTTCATGAACTAGAAATATATACACTTTTATGTATTCCAGCTAATACACACACACACACACAATTAAAAATAATATATAATGAACTGTAAATATAGCTAGGAAATGCTCTTTGTGAGTGAAAAATCATGGAAATTTAAAAGAATTTCTATGACCTTAAAATTCCCTAAAATTTCCATGACCACAGGAACACAGTTTTCTATTTTGATGTGTTTTATTGGCATGACAAATCTTTGTACATTCGTATTGCCACAGCATTTGCAGTTTCTCTTCATGCAATAAAACTGCAAAACAAAAACAGACATACTGTACATAAATTAATACAAAATAATAATAAAAAAACCTGACCCCTTCTCATTCTCTATCCTTGTCTCTGTCTCTTTGTCTTGTTTTCTTTCTCTTACCTGCTGTGTGCCATGCTGTCAGATGCCCCTGGATGTCTCCAGGGCTAGGAATACACAGACAGGAGGATAGGGTGACTTCCATACTGTGTGTGTGTGTGTGTGTGTGTGTGTGTGTGTGAAATGCAGGCCAGCACAATGCAAAGCCTCTGACTCAATGTTTGTCTGCCAACCACATCTTCCAACTCACCTTTAATAATTCAATCTCTATGCTAGCAAAAGACCTGCCAGCTATATGAAATGACACGTATAAATCAATAACTACACACATAAAATAATTAAAATCCCCATTATTAACCATAACACAAACAATAACATCCAACTATTACACTCTGGCACGCTTTCAACGATCTCAAATGAAACTCAATCCTGCTTCTGATATCCTACATATAAATCACTAAGGACGACTTCAGTATTCAATTCAACAAATAGTTAAATACACCAAACGCATTTGTATTCTAGAATAACTTACCATATAAAGTGGTACGCAGTGCTTCAGGCGTCTGTATGTAAACGAGCATCCGTTGGAAATTTTCTCAGCTTCCCTCGAGTATTTTTCTGAAGGCTACACAAAAAAAATCGCTTCCTAACGGCTTCAAACATCCGCTCACTGTTGTCTTAATCAATAAATGATGCCCGCTGTCCGACGAGGAATGTAGTGTTGCGCGCGTCGCTCCGCAGTGCTCGCGCGCTCACTTCTGCTCTAGCGCTCGAGCGCTCTCCCTCCTCTGACGTCAATGCATTCCAGTTTACCCGGACGCGAGAGAGAGAGAGAGAGAGAGAGAGAGAGAGAGAGAGAGAGAGGTGAGGAGAGAGAGAGAGAGAGAGAGAGAGAGAGAGAGAGAGAGAGAGAGAGAGAGAGAGAGAGAGAGAGAGAGAGAGAGAGAGAGAGTTGAGGCAGGGCCACATGAAATGTTTCTGAAGTCTCAAGAACACTATTATGCAACTGGCTATAATTAGGTGAAGGGACCGAATGGAAAAATAACACTTGGACTGACATTCCGCTAATTTCTGTGAGGTCTGAATGGATTACTTTAATGTCAGAATGTAGGCTATATGCAAATAAGCTGACTCGCTTGCGCAATCTGAACATTCTTACAAGGTCTGTAATGAGTATATAGGATACAGAGAAATGGCGAGAGCAACTGAAGAATGAAATATGCTAAAATAGTTTTTGTTAAATTTACAGTGAAAATATTGCTGTTGAAATTTTGTCATTAAACTATAAAATGTTACAAAAGGTTTCTATTTCAAATAAACAGTTCTTTCTATTCATCAATGAATGCATCACTAAAATGCATTACCGTTTCCACAAAAATATTAAGCAGCACAACCATTATTTTCACTGGAAATAGTAGCCTAATAAATGCTTTTTGAGCACTAAATCAGCATATTATAGAATGATTTCTGATGGATCATGTGACACAAGACTGGAGTAATGGCTGCTGAAAATTCAGCTTTGCCATCACAGGAATAAATTATAATTATAAATATATTATAAATTATTTTAAAATGTATTAAAATAGAAAAAAAAGTCATTTTAAATTGTATTAACATATCACAATATTACTGTTTTTACTGTATTTTTGAACAAATAAATGCAGGCTTGGTACAAAAACATTAAAAACAACCTTAACCTTATGAATGTTGTGTATTTGAAATCTAAACAAATGTGATGATTTGTGGAATTCTATCAGTTCCCATTTCTACATATACATTTCTTCATATTTTTCACTTTAAAAAATGTAATTATAATACAATAAATTGTAATAAATAATTTACCCAAAATGTATGTGTATTGCATTGTTTAACATAATCAAAAAAATATAAATAAGGGATATCATACTTATTAATAATATTTTACTTTTTAAATACACATGTTTCTGTATTTGGTAAGGTAACTTACAGTTAACTGGCACTTTTACATTCTTATTCGTTAAAATTAGTAGCATTTTTACAATGCAGATTTATGGAGCTTTACGGAATCTCTTCAGGTCAGGTTTGCCTTGTGCACCTCTCAGAAGTGCATGCCAACTTTGTGACACAACAAAGTTTAAAGCTTCAATAACCGCATTGAATGGGTTTTTATGAGGTCAGAGTAGTATATTAAAAGATTTTAAAGGGTAAATAAGAGGTTCATTTGGGAATTACTACTATTATTTTTTACATCACACCATTTTGTGGTGTCTGGGACTCCAGATGTAAAATCGGTCTCAACAGGACATGAGATAGTGGCAACTGTACAAGCCAGAACAGAGGACATTCTTAAGATTCCAGAAGACTAGAGCAATTGATCAAGATTCCATTCACTCACTTCCTTTCTAAGCTGGAACTGACTGACTGACATCCTCAAAACACCAGAGTCAAGGAGACCGAGATGTCATCCAAAGACCAAGTGTGAATTGCCTTTGTCACAAAAGTTCTGTCTGAATCTCATTTAAACAATCAGAAAATTACATACTTACAATAAATAACACAAGGCCTTCTGTTAAGAGGAATACTTGCATTGTTCATCTCTTCATATTTACTACGTCAAGAACAAGCGTTGGTCAAACCACATCTATGGAGGTTTTATTAGAAACAGGTTTGACGATAATCAAGTTGGAAGTTCTTTGCAATGAGTGTACGCTTTCATCTGTGTTAGTCAACACTGGCACAATGTAACTATTAAAGGGAGAGAAAGACAGACTCTCCCCATGGGGAACCAATGACGTTCGTACATGGTGGAGAACACACTGGTTACTATGGGAACCAATGGCGTAACTTGTCAGCTCGATCTATGCAAGTTACAAAGCCCACCGGATCTTCATTTAGACTTGCATATGAGGGTGCATTAATATGTAAATTCAAAAGTACACTGACAAATTACTAAAGGTCAACTGAACTGATTTAGTTCAACCTCACAGTACCTGGGGGCATTTCTACATTGGGATATATTGTTACACTTGCACAATTTCATCTTGTGGGTATGATTATGGATTTATATTACCTGTCAAAATGACAACATCCCGTGTGGCATATTTTTGTTTATTTTATTGCATAAGCGAAGAAGAAAAATCTGTACAAGTTCAAAATTAAGACTAATTTTGAAACTAATAGTCTCCTTATGTTTTTTTAATTTTGATAAGTTTATGAAATGGTATCAGAGTAGGCCTATTAGTTTTATATTGGAAGACCAAAGGAGCAGCAGTTACTATTTATTACGAAATAAAGTCAACTGTGAGAAATTCTTAAGAAATATGTATCTATATTGGATGATTTCATTTTTCAAAAAATACTGGGTCCGTGATGTTGTCTACTTGTCAAAACAGAGGACTGTCTGTGTGATGTAGTACTGCCACCTTGTGGTTTATTCTCTAATAACTATAAACTACATTGCAAAGAATGAACGGTTTTATATAGTTCTGTCGAATGTACAGTACTGTATCATGTCTGAAAACATAATAGAACATTCCTGAGACTAGAAAATAAACCTATTCTCTAACGAATCTTTAATAAGTTTAGCTTATGAATATTAATTACGTCAGGCTAGAAACATTCCTGAAGCACCAAGTCAAACTATTTAATATTCATACATATTCGGTCTCTCAGCAAATCAGATAAACCTACTGTGGGAACGTCACGTTAAACAATGAATATTCATAAGCTAAGCGTTCGCCATAGCAGAATTCCTCATCTAAGGGCGGGGCTTTAGGTTCAGATGAAGCGTGACGCCGTTATACTGATCCGGAAGAAAATTTTATATAAACTCTTTTAACAACTGACGTTATGTATTAAAGGTTGGTTATTTCAGAACGGATTTTGTAAGAAGTGGAAAATGACCTTGTTCAGACAAACCCTACGCTTCACTTCTCCACGGCTGCCGTTTATTTGCGGGAGGTGCAGGACATATTCTGCTCAAGTAAGCCTGGGATCAATCCTGTTACGTGCCACCAGAGTCATGCAGGTAAACATTCTGTATATTTCTCGCATTGTTCATTCTAGGCTGGAGCCGTCGAGCGGGTCATTTCAGCATTTCGCTCTGTTAGCGGAGATGAAGGGGTGTCTGTGGGCTCAGCTGTCAGAGAACAGCACGGCAGTGATGAGTCTGTGCACAGGTGAGATTGCTTCTTCTTCTTCCGTTTTTTGGCGTGTTACATCCTGTGTGCATATCGCCACCTACCTTTGCTGTTATGCAGTCATGGTTGTTCTACCTTTTTAATCAGGTGAGATTTCACTGCCATACCTGAGGGTCTTCTTCTTCTAATAACGTTTTATGGCGGATGGCAAACCAACTTCTGGTGCATTTACCGCCACCAACGCCACCAAC